TATGTATGTATGTATGTATGTATGTATGTATGTATGTATGTATGTATGTAGGTAGGTATGTATGTATGTATGTATGTATGTATGTATGTATGTATGTACGTATGTACGTATGTACGTATGTACGTATGTATATATGTATGTATGTATGTATGTATGTATGTATGTATGTATGTATGTATGTATGTATGTATGTATGTATGTATGTATGTATGTATGTATGTATGTATGTATGTATGTATGTATGTATGTATGTATGTATGTATGTATGTATGTATGTATGTATGTATGTATGTATGTATGTATGTATGTATGTATGTATGTATGTATGTATGTATGTATGTAGCATGCATGCATGTATGTATGTATGTATGTATGTATGTATGTATGTATGTATGTATGTATGTATGTATGTATGTATGTATGTATGTATGTATGTATGTATGTATGTATGTATGTATGCATGCATGCATGTATGCGTGTGTGTGTGTGTGTATGTATGTGTGTGTGTGTATTTATGTACGTACGTATGTATTTATGCATAAAAAGCTCCTTTAATCAAATAACTGTAAGCATGCTGTTGCTTGCTTTGAATCTGTCGAGGGGGGAAAAAAAGGAGGGGGGGGGGGGGGGGTTCACATACGGAAATATCGCAAAATGCAACCTAGATGTTTGTTTAAATTTTAAAAAAAAATTTAGGACATGATTATTGACAAGTCGCATGCCAGATACCAACAACGCACACAGAACGGCTTACCGAGTTACAGATTATTAAAGTTAGGCAGAACTTCTGGAACGGATTATTTATATCATAAATCCACTGAGAAGCCACAGACTAAATTGTTTACAATTGTCTCACAACAACATAGGCCCGACCGTCTGATTTAAATGCCAATAGTGATAAATAAAAGACTGATGCTACAAAATGTCAAAATCGGCGTGAACTACAACACAGTCTTAATAGTTTCCTAATTAAGCAAACACGCCATTCACACAACCCGCGATCACTCACATGTGAAACTGAAACCGCGGTAGAAAACTAGACAGAAAAATCTTTTCGCCAGGTCTCCGTGGACACGAGGTCCAGTTTGCCGTCTTGAGTGAAGCGAATCCCAACTGAGAGAGAAGTGATCTGATCGATCTAGTTACGGAAGCTCGCCTCCACACTTATGACGAATTCAAATTTTTTTTTTTTTTTTACTCTGTATAAATTAAGTGTGCTAATCGATAACCTATGGGGCATTTTGTTTATCCCTGAGCCCAAAACGTTCTAAGCCAATTGTGAATACGAAGCAGAGGCTGGACTGAGTCGTCACCCTTCAAGCCCAAGTCTAGTCCCCAGTCAAGACACCAAGTGCCAACTCATGAAACCAAGTCCCAGGTCAAGTCTCAACTCACCAAGAATACTTCAAAGTCAAGTCACGAGTAAAAATCACTTTATATGTCTGTTTCCAAGTCGTGCAAATTTATTTTAGTTGACTAGAATACAGGCCAAGATCCCCTACACTTCCCCCACTCCCCCCCCCCCTCCCCCACAAATGCGCAAAAATAAAATCGGGGTCAAACAAACGTTAGTCTTCCTAGAGAAAGTAGGTAACGTTCATTGATAACTGTTTTGGACTGGTCTAACCTATTTGGGGTTACGGGTGTTCCGCTCTGTTGTTCGTTATCTGTGTTGTCTTGCATTTACGTTTTTATTCCGAGTAAGAGAATCCTGTGACATAGGTTTCATCACTCTCTAAAGGGGTTGTGTGTGTTAGACCCAGTATGTCAATGTTTTTTGGAGTTTTAAAAGCGCTGGCGTGCTGAAATATACAACACGCAATGTCAACGGTATTGCGGAACACTCCCGTGAACTTGTACAAGGGCCGCGTGGTTCAAGGCCGACCAATCAGATGTTAGCTGGTCTAAAAAAGATCGACGAATCAGAAGTGCGCTAGTGTGTACCGGTGTGTAGATGGGGGGACTTACTTTTGTTTTACCAAAAACCAGGAAGGGCAGCACACAAAAACTCTCTGAACTCTACGCGCGCGAACACACACACACACGCGCGCGCTTCGTGCTCGCGTGCACACACACAGACACACAAAAAGACAAACACATACAGACACAGCGGAAGAAGTCGATTGTGAAAGGTTGATAAGTCGAAACCGAATACATCCAGCCTTGTTCTTTAGGAAGGCCTTTTAAATTGTGACACGTTGACCACAAGCCTACCTCACGGAAGAACGAATCGTGTTAAGTCGTCGAAGCTACAAGTAGCAAGTCGAGTCACGAGTCGTTCGACAAAACCTCCAGTCGAGTCGCAATTATGCGACTTACGTAGGGCTCTAGCCCAGCTCACGGGACGTTGGTCCCGACCTCTGTTATAAACTAACGACCCTATTAACTCTAATGGTGTATTTTGCTAATGATGTTGGACTCATATTTTATAGTTCCGTCGACATTCCACATGGAATGTGGACGCGTCACGTTGGAAGTCTCTATTTTCCTGACATGTCCTAATACCCCTGTACTCGATATATAATTTATTTCCAAGTTGACCAGCGTACCTAAGATGTGTCCTATTGTAGTGGCATCTGGGGTGCAGTTTTTGAGTTGCTGGTTGAGTGACTGAGTGGGTTGCTGTAGGATATGACTGGGACAGAGTTGGCTGATGTAGGATCTGACTGAGACAGAGTGGATTAATGTCGGGTCTGACTGGGACAGAGCTGGTTGATGTAAGATCTGACTGGGACAGAGTGGGTTTATGTGGCTCCGACTGGGACAGAGTTGGTTGATGTAGGATCTGACTGGGACAGAGTGGGTTAATGTCTGGTCTGACTGGGACAGAGCTGGTTGATGTAGGATCTGACTGGGACAGAGTGGGTTTATGTGGCTCCGACTGGAACAAAGTTGGTTGATGTAGGATCTGACTGGGACAGAGTTGGTTGATGTAGGATCTGACTGGGACAGAGTTGGTTGATGTAGGATGTGACTGAGACAGAGCTGGTTGATGTAGAATCTGACTGGGACAGAGCTGGTTGATGTAGGATCTGACTGAGACAGAGTAGGTTGATGTAGGATCTGACTGGGACAGAGTTGGTTGATGTAGGATCTGACTGGGACAGAGCTGGCTGATGTAGGATCTGACTGAGACAGAGTTGGTTGATGTAGGATCTGACTGGGACAGAGTTGGTTGATGTAGGATCTGACTGGGACAGAGTTGGTTGATGTAGGATCTGACTGGGACATAGTTAGCTGATGTAGGATCTGACTGGGACATAGTTAGCTGATGTAGGATCGGACTGGGACTAAGTAAGCTAATGTACCATAGGAATAAAAGCATCATAAAATTGAGTGTGATTGTTTTATTCAATAAATGTGTCTGGCACCATATGTCTAACGTTCCCAAAAGGTGTCCATTACTTACTATTTCACACTGTCAATGTACTATAGGTGAGGAGTGCTGGCTAAGTTGTTAGAACACGAAATACCTGGGCTTGAATCATCGGTTATGCAACAGACATGTATTTTTTTTTCTATGGAGGGTAGAAGTAAACATCCTGACCTGCGCATTTCGCAAAGACTGCACAAGCCATACAGCCTGAAATATAAAGCACCCCCCCCCCCCCCACACACACTATTCTGTCTGTCTGTCTGTCTGTCTGTCTGTCTGTCTGTCTGTCTGTCTGTCTGTCTGTCTGTCTGTCTGTCTGTCTGTCTGTCTGTCTGTCTGTCTGTCTGGTCTGTCTGTCTGTCTGTCTGTCTGTCTGTCTGTCTGTCTGTCTGTCTGTCTGTCTGTCTGTCTGTCTGTCTGTCTGTCTGTCTGTCTGTCTGTCTGTCTGTCTGTCTGTCTGTCTGTCTGTCTGTATGTCTGTATGTCTGTCTGTCTGTCTGTCTATATGACTCTCTCTCTCTCTCTCTCTCTCTCTCTCTCTCTCTTTCTCTCTATTACCTTTCCTACACCGCTCTAAAAAGTGGTAAACACAAACAGTCAAGACGGTGTTCTACAGGAAGTAAGTGGAATAAAAAAATTGATCTCCCCAAAAAATTAGATCAACATTTAAAAAGAAAATATAATGTTAACTTCTGTACTTACACATTTCTCATAGCTACCACCATCTATCACTTTTACAGTCAATTTGTGTTGGTAAATATTTGGTTATCTTGCCACCAGTGGGCCAATATTGTTGTCAACATGCGCAAATGAACACATTTTCCAATACCGTCTATTGTTATTTATTATTATTATTATTATTATTATTATTATTATTATTATTATTATTATTATTATTATTATTATTATTATTATTATTATTATTCTTTTCGCCTTTTTGTTCACGTCTTATCTTCTTCTTCTTCGCCTCGACCAGCTGTAAACTCCGGCGGCAGTTCTAGGTGTTCGCCCACCTCCGGAATTTAGTCTATTTCCAGAACCTGTGTGTTACGTGCCCATCCGTATCACACGTCTGGCTTATCTGTGTGCAGACTTTTAGTTACTTGCCTCTCAAGCAGAAGTACTCCGACTTCAAAGGATGCCCCAGTTTGTCGACTCCTACGACATGCTTGTTAAGGAGGCAGATGTGTCTTTTTGTCTTCCCCACAATAGGCCCCGGAACCCAGATTGGGGTCCGGAACCCACAATGGGCCCAGGAACCCACACGGGGAAGGATTAGGCATTATTTTCTTAGATACAGCACCAGTGTTGGTAAATGATGCTACTGCATTAACAGCGTCAGAAAACTGCAATTATTCTTTCAGACTAAAATTGACAACCACGATAATACACAGTTTATACTATCCTATAGCACAGTGGTTTTCAACCTCCCTAATGCCGCGACCCTTTAATACAGTTCCTCGTGTTGTGGCGACCCCAACCATACAATTATTTTCGTAACTTCTTCATAACTTCAAAGAATATTTGTTTTGCTTTGGTCTTTGACTACCCCTGCGAAAGGGTTGTTCGACCGAAAAAAAAGGTCTCCACCCATAGGTTGAGAACCGCTACTATTGCAGTTCTTTTATTCCCTGGGCACTGACTCCAGTTTGATCGGAGTGCGAGGACGTAACAGGAACACACCACTCATGTCCATCTTCAGTTTCGTCCCCTTCTTCGGTTCAGTTTTGTCTGAGAGAATAAACCTCTGCTCTCTAAGCAAATACACGAGAACTGTCTTCAGCTCCATTATCGCCAGCCGCATCCCCAGGCAGATTCTTGGTCCGTACCCAAAAGGCACAAAAGCAAGTGGATCTCGGCCAGCCTTGTTTTCTGGACTAAATCTGTCTGGGTCAAACTTTTCTGGGTCCGGCCAGTGCTCGGGATCTTTCATGATTTCTCCTAAAGTTATATGAACGAAAGTCCCCTTCGGTATCGTTATGTTACCGTATGTTTTTGTTTCAGCTGCAACGCGCATTATTGTTGACACAAGGGGGAACAGTCGCAAACATTCGTTAATGACTTGTTCTGTATACTTCAGATCTTTTAGCTGCTCATAGTCGACGGGTGTACCTTTAGGAAAGACTTGGTCAATTTCAGCGATAACCTTCTCCTGGATGTCTTCATGAAGAGCCAGACAGTAGAACAATGACTGAAACGTCGTGGACACTGTTTCTACCCCAGCCATTATCAGCATGATGGAGTTGCCTAAAATCTCGTCATGGCTGAGAGATTTAGATTCAGGATCTGCCAGCCTTGGGTCGTTGTTCTCTACACCAGCTTTAATCATCATGTCCAACAAATCCCTGGGTTTGTCATTTCCTGATACCAGTCCTTTCCTTTTCCTGTCTTCGATTGTCGACGTCAACAAGCTGACGAAATATTCATCAGCTTCCTTCCTCACAAAGTCAGTGCTAACATTAAAGATTCGAAGGATGTTTTCAATGTGAGGAAAATACTGGCCAACTTTATTTACGTTAGACAGGAATTTGGAATTAAAGATTACAATATTTCTTGCATAGTAAGCAAATTCCGTTTCTTCTTCTGACACAGCATGTGTCTCAACCCCAAATGCGATTCTAGCGATGACCTCAGTAGCAAATTTCGTGGCAAAGAACTTGAGAGGGATCAACTGTCCTTTCTGAGAATTCAGTCTGGCCAGCTTTGTTAGTGTTTCAGCACTGTCGCAGATGTGTCTTAGGATTATTTTCAGCCTTGAACCCGTAAACATAGGACTTGTTACGTGACGTGTTCTTTTCCATTTGTCACCAGTAATCGACGTCAATCCGTACTTCAGCGTCGATCTGGTTTGTCTTGCACGGCTCCTGTCAGGAGGATAACAGTATCCGTTTAATAAATAAAGAGCAGCTTCACGGGGTAATATTATATATTGGGTGAGTGAGAGGAGCTTCAGGAGATCACACTAAATATTTGGTTGGGGAGAGGAGCTCCAAGAGATAACACTCTATATTTGGTAGGTTAGAGGAGCTCCAAGAGATCACACTATACACTGAAGGGTGAGAGGAGCTCTAAGAGTTAAAACTATACATTTGGCAGGTGAAAGAAGCTGCACTATACACTTGTTAAGGGAGACGAGCTTAAAGAGATAACATTATAGATTTGGTGGGCGAGAGGAGCTTTAAGTCAAGAGATAAAACTATACATTTGGTAGGTGATAAGAGCTTCAGGAGATAACACTATACACCTGTTAGGGAGAGGAGATTAAAGAGATAACACTATATATTTTGTGGGCGAAAGGAGCTCTAAGTCAAGAGATAACACTATACATTTGGTAGGTGACAGGAGCTTTAAAAGATAACACTATGCATTGGTGGGGGAGAGGTGCTCCAAGAAATCACACTATACATTTCGTGGGTGAGAGGAGCTTCAAGAGATAGCACTAAACATTCGGTAGGTGAGAGGAGCTTCAAAAGATAACACTATACACTTATTAAGGGAGAGAAGCTTCAAGAGATAACACTATACATTGCGTACGTGACAAGGAGCCTCGTGGTTTGACATGATACATTGGATATGTGGGGGGAAAGAAAAGAGAGACGTCAATACAAACTTGATAGATAAAGATGAACTTCAATAGATAACATTATACAAGGGGCTCTAAATGAAAAACTTTAGAGTGTGATAGAAATTACAATAAGGATACACTACGGGTTACAAAAGGTGTAATAAAAAGCTGGTCCTATTTGATGCATGCTAAAATTAGGGGGCGGTCATTTTTTTTAAAACTCTGATTATCACATCACCATGTTCGTCTGCACCATATTGTTACGTGCTTAACACTCTTGATATCCTAAACAGCAGTGTTAACAGATAACAATACAATGTGGTGACTATTGTAACTTTATCACGCTTTTAAGGTATTAATTTAGCCCGGCTCTCTAGCGTACTTGGCTAAACAGGACTGCGCGGTGACCGGGTGACGAACTCCTTGTGGTTCGGGTTCACGCCCAGGGGTTGGCAGAAAAGCCACATTTCTCCCAGATTTACGGTATTTATCATGGAATCAAGGCCGAAGTGAATAAGAGCAACTTGACACAATTACTGGAGTCTATGTAGGTAGATCTATGACGAGAAACAGCGACACTACGGGGCTCAGTGGTGTAATCTAACCGACGCTTGATAGAAGGTCTTAAAGTTAGGGTCATGTCCGTGGGGGAGTCGCCGTGGCTAGACCCTCGCGTGCGGTCGAGGGTTCGCTCCCTGGCGGAGCCGTGCTTTTTTCAAAAATGGCTTTGACTCCCAGGTGGACCCAGCCTTGAGTTTGTACTGGGTGTCGGCGTGATGCTGACCACATCCCCCATCTTGTGTCGATTGGTCTTAAAAAATATAGGTCTAGCCCTATATGCCCTATACCCCCAAAGACGTGGAAAAGGGACCTCTGATTAACCTACATGTCGGTGGGCTATAAGAGTAGGATCTGAGAGAAAGAAGCTAAAGACAGGGTAAGCACTAGGACAGGGAGGTGACTAGAGAGCAGGCTTATGGCACTGCTATTGTGGTAAGGATAAGTAAAAGAAATGATCTCTCTCTCTCTCTCTCTTTCTGTTTCTCTCTTTCTCTCGACAATTGAATATTCTGCGCAGCCACAGGAAAGAGACACACAAAAAACAGGTGACAAGAGTGGCATTGGAAAGCATCGCTGGGGCTGAACAGATGAATAGAAAAACAGACAGAAAGACCAGCATGACTGATACTTGGATAAGGTAAGTTGTACGCTACCAGGAAATCACATAAGCGATAAACACCCAGTGGCACAAAGTGCCACAATGCTGATGATAATCACCCGTGGGAAGGTCCCGGAAAACCCGTTCATCCGTTAGGCCATATTTATGACTCGGCTATATTCAGGGGCACCCGGCAAAAGCCGAGGTGGGGCTTTAAATTACAAAAAATTGCATCCCACAAGGAGAAGAATATTTTGAAATTGAAGTATTGAGCATGAATGCTGCTGTGTGGAAAAGACGATAGTAGGGAACAATAATAAAATTATAAGTCACTACATTGAAGAACGCCAAGGAATTAGATTTGTGGAGAAAAACAACAAACCAACTGACAAGGCGCATAATGAGAGGGGGCAAACTGTCAACGATGATCATCAAGAATTGATCATCTCACGCCGTTATACGCCCTAGAGGCTGGAATCAATGCATCCAGTCCGCCCCGTCATGTGCACATGTTTCAGTGAACATGAATGTTGAATGTTGAAATAAGAATCGACATCACAGCACTCGGGACACCTTCATAAGCGCTCCCTCCCCATCTTCAGCAGCAAGAGAAAAGTTTCTATTCCGAGGGCACCAGTAACTGTCTGATGTATATCAGTCTCGCTTTTTCCCTGAATGTTGAGCGCCGGCCAGATCCCCTTGTAACTCCTTGTAGAGCTATTCTCCTCAGACAGTAATGATCTCTGTGCCTCCGCTCTCACAACATCCAGCTTGTCATACGTCAGTTCACCACCAAGCGGCGCAGAACCGGCCAGTTTATCTGCCTGCTCATTTCATAACACACCAGCATGCCTGGCATCCAAAGGATGCTAACTACCTGGGACCTGTGAAGTGATGCTTGTCAGTCTGCAATGATCATGCCTTTCTCCCCTTTCTCAGCATGCCCTTCTTTGCGCTCACCGGCTGTAAAGTCCGGCGAAAAGTTCTGCTTTTTCGTCCAGTTCTGGACTTTAGTCCTTTTCCACAACCAGAGGTTTGAGTGCATATCAGTTTTACAGATATGACATATTTGTCAGCACTTAGTCAAATGCACTCCGATTTCGAAGAAAAACACCCCTAATTAGTCAGTTTACGACATGCTTGTTAGGAAAACAGTGGGTCTATCCCCCACGCCTCACAACAACATGGGTCTCGGAACCCACACGGGGATGTACCTGACTGATTCTCACCCATGAGATGTGAGCCACACTGTGTACAATATTGGAGTAGCAACGTCCGAAAAGTATCTTTTTTTTCATAGAGCTGTCAGTTCATAAGTTGAGAAAACCTGAGAACAATATAATTATAATATCTTAGCAACGGCATATAAATAAAATAAAACTAACAAGACATGGGGAAAGGGAGCTGGAGAGTGAAGGTAAAAGGAAGAGTGGGAGGACATTGGGAGAGCTGCATGCGATATCAAGGGGTTGTACGACTTTTGCGTGAGCTGGTTGAGGGTCTATGCTCTACTGGGGGATAGAAGCCAAAAAAGAAATCAGCTAACATTAACCATCACACAAATACCATACCGTTCCATAAAATTATCAAAATCCTTCACCAGGATCTCCTTCACTAAGGATAAATCTTTGGTAAATAACACTGCACGGTGAGGTAAGAGACCGTAGGCTCCGAATGTATTGCCGTAGATCTTGAACCATTTCTTCACAGCAGCATCTGCTCCTCCTTTGAGCTCTAGCTTGTGGTCAATGATTGGCCAGGGTTTGGGTCCAGGGACTCCGAGTTTTTCCCAGACTCCATGATGGCGTGTTGCGTAGACATAGTAAAGAGCAATCAAAAGGAATAACGTCGCAGTCAACAACTGGGTAATCGTCACTTCGCCCAGTATTTCATACAGGAGTGGTATCTGCATCTGTAATAGTAAGGAAAATCTGCGGATTATAAATTATGTGATAATTATATTGTGTTTAGTCGACGACTATAGCTTACGCGTTGCCAGCAAGCTTGTAGTGCCGGGGTGCCGGGTTCGATCCCAGTTGTGTACGATGTGTTTTGCGTTGGTTTCGAGAGCTGAATGTTCTGGTAGTTCCCATTCCACCTACCCCCCCCCCCCCCCCTCCCCCCCCCCAACCACACTTATAAACAATGATTTTATGACAAAATAAACATTGCGAATAGAAAGCGCCTTTGAAGGTATACAACCAAAGGAGAATAATATGACTACATTAAAAAGTGTATGCAAATATTTAAACATTTTAAGATTATTCCCCATTTGGCTTATTTGGTATCAAGTATGGTAGGATATCATTCTAAACACCAATGAGTACTATATTCTTCTTCTTCTTCTGTCGTCTCAATGATACCAAGTTGTAAGTCGTCGTAGTTTTCTGTATTTGTCTTGCTCTTCTCAGGTGGCTTGGGTTATGGGTTTTAAAGAGATGAATATCAGAAATGGGGGGGGGGGGGGGGGGTACAGATATATTTTATTTTTAATTTTTAAACAAGGGAAGGGAGTGGGGTAAAAAAAAGAAAAGACTTAAAAATGGTTTGACTTCACTTGCCCCCCCCCCCCCACCCCCCCCCCCCCCCCCCCCCCCCCCCCACCCCCCCCCCCCCCCCCCCCCCCCCCCCCCCCCCCCCGCAAAAAAAAAAAAATTATTACATTCAACCGCATATCCCGAAGGTGGAGCTTTCTGTTATGATTGTGACTAGATTTGTATGCGCCATATACAATGACTTTGCATTGCTTGCAACTAAGTCGCCCTAAAAAGGACTCTTGTAATGTTGATGCGATCAAGAGCGACAGACCCAAATACTGTCCCGACCTACGACGAAGCCGTCCACCAGTCAGCCAATAGACGACCTGGTCGCTGTGCCCACAGAGGCTTGCAGCGGTAGAAATATCTATACCCATGCGTACGTACACAAACACTAAAGCGTACACTGGGAGTCGCAGTAGCATAGTGACTAAAGGAATACCTCCCAACCCGAAAGTCGCGGGCCCAAGTCTACACTGTCAACGACTTTTTTAATCAGTGACCGGGCGTCGGCTCTGTGGCTAAGGCGATGCGAACGCTTCGAAATGCCGGGATGCCAGGTTCGATCCCAGCTGTGGGCTATGCGCCTTGCGTTGGTTTCGATAGCGGTATCAAGAAAGCCGACCGTCCAGATGTAATGGCAAACTACAGGCCGTAAATTTGACCAGAAAAACCACACAACAGCCAGGTGCTGTTGGGGTTGGTTCTACAACGTCCTGTAAAGGATACGCAACTAACCTAATCAGTGACCGAGCGTCTCGGCCGACGTAGTTTAAAATTAATAGCAGGAAATATTCTACAAGTTGAGCACAAATTGCTAATGTCTAATTTACACACTTGCAGTTTGTTTTTCTTTGAATCCAGACCAAAAAATTAGGATGTTTCTCTTTAAATCCACTCTCAAAAACTAAGAATGTTCTCAGTTTGAAACAAATATTGTGAAACTTACTGTCAGAGTTTCTGTACTGTGCCCCGAAGTTACATCTCTTCTACTAATCCACTTTTATACGCAACAGAATAACTACATAAGTCTTAGTCAAGCAAGATGACTCAGAAAACACAGGACTGTGAACCTCAAGCAGCACTTTGGTCTAGTTAAGATGTTAAAAGACCATGGTATTTGATACACTTCACAGTGTTATATAAACTTACTTCTTATCTTACCTTTACGAACATAAATATCAGGGACTTTTGAATATCCTCAATGATTCTTGTACTTGTACAATACATTATAGGTTTATCAGATTGAAGCTGTTAGTTATAAAGTAAAATAAATTTGATATATGGAAAATGTTGGGCCAAAAAACTAATCGTACAGGCGAACCTGAATGGAGGCGCGCGGAGGGTTGTTTGCCTGTGGTAGGTCTTGATTTGGAACAGTGCTTTACAACTTGGTAGAACGCGCCCCTGGGGAGAGGAGGGGGAGGCGCAAGGAAGTTTTAAATGGGGCGTCCAGCAATTTTGAAATTGCTTTAATTTGTACTTTTAATAACAAGTTGTAGTAACATTTAAAAAAAATCCAGTTTGATTATGAAAAAATATTTTTTTAAATCCAGGTTGAGTATAAATAAAATATTAGAAAAATCCATTTATGAAATAGAACTCAAGTCTATGACCATTGGTAGATCTACCTCTTAAAATCAGATTATCTATTTGACACTTTGATTTGTATGGATATTTTTCTCCAGGTTTTCTTAACAGAGCTTTGAATTTTCATTTTGTATTTTTTTTTTAAATTGCCCTTTTTAATACGTTTGGGTCTAGAGGGGGCGGTGGCGATACTTGATAGTGGGAGGAAAAGGGGGGGGGGTCCTTGCCATACATTAGAAACAGGCTGGGGGAGCAGATTTAGCTTAAGTGGTGGGGGGGGGGGGGGGGGGAGGCTCACCCACATTTTACTACAAACAACTTTGTAACCAATCTCTTGCTGTGCTGTATGATTATATGGTTGAGCCAGGTTTCCGGGATTTGTACGTCTTTGATTCACATCCTCGAGACGTTAATCATATCAGCAGCAGTCATGGAAGAGATGCCCATGGATACAAAATAGGTAGGAAGAAGTTACTGGTGACTATAGGTAGCCATCGTGACGCTGAGCAAATTAACTATTAAGAACTGATTGTCTATTAAACATATGGCTCTAAAATATTTTGCCAGATACGCCGATGACATATAAAGGGTCCTTTATAATCTAAAAAGGGGTCCTTATGAACCAGAACAGGGGTTCTATCGCACCAGAGTGGTAGTGGAAACAAAAACTAAGTAAACAGTTGAACGAGATGCAAAGTGGTTTATATAGTGATGTCGAGACCAGTGAGGTAAATACCTAGGTGGCGAACACTTCAGTACGCTGATATGATGGTTTTGTAGGTGGTCATTAAAAACATAAAAATATATGGTGCCTAATTAATATCCTACCCCAAACAGAAAAAACCCACAGGTAACGGGACAGTCTAATATTTCAGGGGGTGGTAGATAGGCTGCATACAGTCGTGGGACCTAGGTTGTATGCAGTCGTGGGACCTAGGCTGCAGTCTCTGGTAGGAGGTAGGTGGGTTGGAGTTAGGGCCAGTTCTAGATGTTTTGGGATCGTTATAAGCATCAGATAGCCGGGAAACCCAGTCTTGCTGTAGCAGGCTGGAAACTTACTGTTCAGCAGCTCAACAATTTATTTAATTTGGTTTTAAAATGACCAAAAGGCCACCGGAACAGCTTTTAGTATTAGACAGTAAAATGGGGAAAAGTCTGGCCACATGGTATAAATTGGCCAAACTCATTCAGTATTCTCGGATTTTGACTTCCAGATTCACCCTGTGGAGACCTACCCCGCTGCTGTAGCCTTGCACTGGCGGCTGAACAGAGTGGGTGGGCGACTTCAGGGAGGCCGTCGTCTGACTGATCTCCCTGGCTGATCTCACGGTACGTTTCAGTTGGTTAGGTGGTGGTAGATTTGATTTCCATTTTTTATTCTCGCTAGAAGATAGTTTGATGGCAGGTCGCTATAAGTGATTCGTTGGCATATTAAAGCTTAACGTACATGTTAAATATGTTTCGTTTTTTTTGCCATTGTTGAGGTAATCTCGCTGAGCGTATGGTGTCAGTACCATAGTTACTTACAGGCTGAAGATGGTCAGTACTTTAAATTCTGGTCGAGCACGTTGGGTGTTGTTAATGTTATTACTTGTGAACCACTCTGATGTTATGTTAAGTAAAACAAACAGCTGTTTAATGTGATTATAATTAATTTGCATGATTTGATTTAGGATCTGTAGTCAGTGGTTCGTCTAGGTGTGTGTACCCATGTAGTTAGGTCGACATCATGTAACTCAGCATACAGACATTCATAGTTTGGGTCTCAGGGACATAGTCTGGGATCTCTGCGCAGAAGAACCCCTGTCTTTTCTATACTTTCATGTTTTTGCTGTTTAGCGGGGAACTATTTCATTTGTCGTAATCACAAATTTTCTCCTTTATCTCTCCCTTCTTCTTTCTGTTTCTCCTCCTTCTTTCTTCCCGCTAGCACATTACCTCCCTCTAAAATGTTGGACTGTCCTGTGACGTCATCTGGGGGTAGGATATTTTAAAAACAATGAAATATATACACGTTTTCAGGAATAAATGCACAAGCACCATCATAATTGTTTACATGAAACCCAAGTTACTTCTGTATAGGTTCCTGTACCAATTTCGGGGGAGGAAAAAAGAGGGGGGGGGGGGTTTCGGGTAGTATTCATCGCCTCCTACGCCTCCTAACAAATGTGTGGCACAAGGTAACTAATTATAACTTTGTTTAAATCGGAGGCGTTGGCATGACAGAAGCGAATATCACAGCCTAGCTGTAAACCACCTGCCAACTGTCGTTTTAATGGCGTAGGCAGAAGAAAAACACAATTCACTTAAAGGTGCTAGCAGACGACACAGACCTAAACACACACACACGCACACACACACACACACATTAAAACATAGGTACTTAACCAAGTCACCTAAACACAAGCGCCTCCTCCCCCCCCCTCCCATTCCGTCCCCTCACCCACACCACAAGCACACACACACACACACATGTGTTTAAACATAGGAACTTGATTAGGCTAACTTATCGTAATCCTAGCCCCTCCCCCCCCCCCCCTTTTCCTTTGCAGCCACGACATAACACACACACACACAGAAACACACACGTTGATACACACACACACACACACACACGTTAAAAAAGGAAGTGCTCACCTGAGTACCCCAAACACGCACAAATATTAAAAGAAAAGTACATAATCACAACCCCCCCCCCCCCCCCCGCCTCCGCCCCTATAAACAAACACAGACACACATACACACACATACAGACACACGTTAAAAAACAAGTATTTCATTAGGT